TCTCTCATCGATGTTTCTAACTCTCTATCCCTCTCCTTTCCTCTCTGTAAAAATTCAATAAAATATATTTTAAAATATATATATCTTTATTGATTTCAGAGAGGAAGGGAGAGGAAGAGAGAGAGAAACATCAATGATGAGAGAGAATCATTGATTGGCTGCCTCCTGTATGTCCCCTACAGGGGATCAAACTTGCAACCCAGGCATGTGCCCTGAGTGGAATCAAACCTGGGACCCTTCAGTCCGCAGGCTGACGCTCTGTCCACTGAGCCAAACCAGCTAGGGCTTTATCACAGTATTGTTGACTACATTCCCTGTGCTGTACTTTACGTCCCTATGACTGCTTTCATAACTGGCAATTTGTACTTCTTTTAAAAAACTACATTTTGATTGATTTCAGAGAGAAAGGGAGAGGGAGAAAGAGAAACATCAATAATGAGAGAGAATCATTGATCGGCTGCCTCCTGTACACCCTCTACTGGGGATCGAGCCCGAAACCCGGGCATGTGCCCTTGACCGAAATTGAACCCAGGACCCTTCAGTCTGAAGGTTGATGCTCTATCCACTGAATCACACCAGCTAGGGTGGCAATTTGTGCTTCTTAATCCCTTCACCCTTTTTCACCCATATTTTCTAAATTTTTAAAAAAATGGTCAGTTACAGTTGACATTCCATTTTCTATTAGTTTCAGGTGCGTGGCACGGTGGTTAGACAACCATACCCTTAATGAGATGATTCCCCCTGAGAACCCACCTGACACTATACATGGTTATTACAATATCACTGACTCGATTCCCTGGAAAACCCTATGGAGTTTCCTCAAAAAATTAAAACTGAGAACTATCACAGGACCCAGCGCTTCCACTTCTGGGTATTTATCTGGGAAGAAATCCAAAACACACATTCAAAAAAGACGTACTCATTCTCTCTAATTCTTACACCTTTCTCCCGTGGCTTCCTCATTGTGTCCTAATTGCTGATTGAAAATGCCTCATTTCAATTGGAAATTGCTGGTGCCATGGGCAAACCCCTTCGGTGGATATAGTGGTGGCCTTCAGACGGGTCTGCCTTCCTCTTGATTCTGTGGGCAAGCGGTCAGGTCTGTGATGAAATGGTGTCACGGCGGGGGGGGAGGTTCCTGGAGACGGGAGGCGGGCTCCTCACTGCCTGTGGCTGCCTCTGTGACTTTATCTTATTAATTTATTTTTAATTTAATTATTGTTTTTAAAAAATATATTTTTATTGACTTCAGTGAGGAAGGGAGAGGGAGAGAGATAAAAACATCAATGATGAGACAGAATCATGGGTCGGCTGCCTCCTGCACACCCCACACTGGGGATCGAGCTTTCAACCCAGGCATGTGCCCTGGCCAGGAATCGAACTGTGACCTCCTGGTTCATAGGTTGACACTCAACCACTGAGCCACGCTGGCCAGGCTTTAATTTTATTTTTCAATTACAATTTGCATGCAATGGTATTGCTGCCTCTGATTCTAGAGCCTCCTCAACTCTTTCTTCCCCTTTCTCGTCTTTCATTGTTTTATGAGGTCTCCCAGGTGCTGGAGCCCAGAGAGGTACTGGCATCAATGGTTTTGGGGAGGGAGGACTCCATTTACACCAGGCTATTGTGGTTTTGTTTTTAGAGAGAGAGGGAGAGAGAAACATTAATTTTATTTTTCAGTTACAATTTGTACGCAATGGCATTGCTGCCTCTGATCCTAGAGCCTCCTCAACCCTTTCTTCCCCTTTCTCATCTTTCATTGTTGTATGAGGTTTCCCAGGTGCCGGAGCCCAGAGAGGTACTGGCATCAATGATTTTGGGGAGGGAGGACTCCATTTACACCAGGCTAGTGTGGTTTTGTTTTTAGAGAGAGAGGGAGAGAGAAACATCGATTGGTTGCCTTCCATACGCACCCCAACTGGGGACTGACCCTACAACCTGGGCATGTGCCCTGACTGGGGATCAAACTGGTGACCTTTCGGTGCACAGGACGATGCTCAACCAACTGAGGCACACGGGCTGGGGTGGGCTAGTGTGGTTTTTAGTTAGAAACCCATTTATGCTCCACCTCCCAGCTAGCGATGATTTACACCTGGAGGAGAAGGGGTCAGAGATAACACCCAACAGTTGGGTCTTGGTGGTTTCTCAACCTATCAGGACCTGTTATTCTGCACCTGTCCAGAGTGGGAGGGAGAAAAGCTATCAATCAGGGGGGCCCACAGACAGACCTGGAGGAGGCTGAGATCAACCAGAGGGCCAGTCCCAGGCTGGGGTAGGAGTGGAGCTGATCTCTTCTCCGAGTTCCCGAGATTAGAAGTCTGATTGGTGTGTGATGGCTCCTTTCTCTTCTTCTCCAAAACCCTCCCTAAACCTAGTATCCCTCCCCATCTGAGACCCTGTTGGCATTTCCTTTTTTTAATACTCACTCGAGGATATGTTTTTGTTGATTTTTAGAGAGAGGAAAGGAGAGAGAGAGAGAGAGAAAACCATTGATTTGTTGTTCCACTCATACATGGATTCATTGGTTGATTCTTTTTTAATCCTCACCTGAGGATATTTTTTCATTGACTTTTAGAGAGAGTGGGAAAGACAGAGAGAAATATCAATGTGAGAGAAACACATCAATTGGTTGCCTCTTGCATGTGCCCCAACCAGGGCCCAGGCCAGGGAGGAGCCTGCAACTGAGGTACTTGATGGGAATCGAACCCGGGACAGGCCAACGTTCTATCTACTGAGCAAACCGGCTAGGGCGAGGATATGTTTTCATTAATTTTTAGAGAGGGGAGCGAGAGAGAGAGAGAGAAAGAGAGAGAGAGAGAGAATTGATTTGTTGTTCAGTTCATTCATGCATTCATTGGTTGATTCTTGTATGTGCTCTGACCCAGGATCAACCCACAACCTTGGCGTATGGGGATGATGCTCTAAGGCTGTGGTCGGCAAACTGTGGCTCACGAGCCACATGCGGCTCAAAAAAATTGTCTCAAAAGAAATTTCAATTGCTGTACTGTTGATATTTGGCTCTGTTGACTAATGAATTTGCCAACCACTGCTCTAAGGCAACGGAGCTACCCGGCCAGGGCCATGGTTTACGGTTCTCACTCTCCCTTGTGTGCAGGTCCTGTTTGTTCTGTGAGTGGGACAGGTCTCAGGGAAGCTGGGACTCTGGCGTGTGGGCAGGATGAGCTCCTCCACCGACATGGCTGTGGACAACCGCTTGTATGACAAGCTGCTCTCTCACCTGAGGCGCCTGGACCGGTATCAGCTGGAGGAATTCAAACTTGGCCTCCAGTCCCCACAGCTGCTGCCTGAGAGCTCCCAGAAGATCCCCTGGGCCAACTTGAAGGCGGCGGACCCCATGGATCTGATGTGTCTGTTGAAGGAGAACTTTCCGGGACAGCAGGTGTGGAACGTGACCCTCCGCATCTCTGAGGACATGAAGCTGACTTCGCTCTGTGAGGAACTGAGAGCCCAGATGAATGGTGAGTGGGGCTGGAGGCATGAGGGGCACAGAGTTGGGGGGAACGTGGGGGAGGATAGGGGACCAAGGGGATGGAGACATGGGAGAGGGGGAGAGGACATGGAGGGACATGGGGGATAGGGACATGATGGGGCATGGGGGGGCCATGAGGGATGGGGACATGAGGGAGTCTCAGGGGACATGCAGAATGGGTGAACGAGAGGATGGGAACATGATGGGGTTTGGGGGACTATGGGTGATGGGGACATGGAGGGATAGAAGCAAGGATGTGGTTGCTGGGTTTAAATTTTTTTAAAAAATTTTATTGATTATTTACAGAGAGGAAGGGAGAGGGATAGAGTGATAGAAACATCGATGAGAGAGAAACATTGATCAGCTGCCTCCTGCACACCCCCTACTGGGGATGTGCCTGCAACCAAGGTACATGCCCTTGACTGGAATCAAACCTGGGACCCTTCAGTCCGCAGGCCAACGCTCTATCCACTGAACCAAACCGGTTAGGGCTAAATTTATTTTTAATAAAATCTTTATTGTTGAAAGTATTACATAGGTCCTCCTTTTCCCTCCATTAACCTCTTACAGCCCGCTCCCATCCCCCACCCCCAGGCCCTCATCACCTCATTGTCTGTGTCCACAGGTTATGCACATACTCACACAAGTTCATTGGTTGTTCTCTTCCCTCCCATCCTCCCTCCCCGCTGCTGGATTTTTATGGGCTCCATCCACATTGCTAGTAACAGATGAGAAATTGGATCAATAAGTACGTCATGTGGTGTGTTAGAGGGTGACACGTGCAATGGAAAAGAGAAGGAATAAGGGGGATGGGGAGAGCCCAAGGCTTGTGATGTAGGGGGTCTGTGCTGGATTTATTGGGGTCATCCGCCACCGTGAGGAGGTAAGAATTGAGGAAAGACTTGGAGGTGAGGGAGTGAGCCAAGTGGACACCTGGGGGAAGAGCCAAACGGGGGTCTGGCTGGACCCAAGTCCCAGAGGCAGGGAGGGGTTTGAGGTGTGGTGTGGGCTTTGCAACATGGAGAGCTTCCAAAGTAGTTGGGTAGATGGAGCTGGGGGATGTGACTTCCCCAGTCACCCCCAAACTAGCCAGAGAGAGAGCTGGTCTTACTGAGAGCACCCATCGCCGCCTACCCCTTTCCAGCCTGAGGTTTCTCATTCCCCATCATCATGGCTTCTTTCAGAGATGGCTCAGGGACCCCAAGACCCAGGCGAAGAAGAACCAGAGGCCCCCGAAGAACAATCAGGTGTGTGCACACGATGTTACGATGATCGCAGACAAATGGTTTGATGGAACATTTTACCGGGTCCACCTTGGCCATTTTTTCCTGAAGTTTTATCCAATGGATAGTATTCCAGAAACGATACCCTTCCCCGTCTGTTAAATCGGAAGCCACCTGCAAGTTGGACATTCTGTCTGATTCTACGCTAAGTTCTTAGATGCCAGTGTCTGTTTCTGGACTTTGAATTTGTTAGGGTCGCCAAAAGAGGAATGCACGAGGCTCAAAGGGGTAAAGAATTATGAATTTATTAGGTCATCTGGATACCAGATGGGCTGAGCCCCCAAATGGCGCCAGTCTCCAAAGATGGGGAGTTAGAGGTTTTTAAAGGACTCTAGGCAGGCTTTTTCTGGGCGGAGAACTCTCTGTGCAGGTCTCGATCCTGGGAAAGTCTGGAGGGAAGAGATAATGGTCTTAGCAAGAGGAATGTGGTCTAAGCAAGTGGAATGTCCATTGTGAAGTGGCCTAAAGGTCAGTTCCCAGGGGAGGGGGCATCAATTCAATTATTTGATTAGACCTAACAGTGTTGCCTTAATAGGTAGCTGTGTATTTTTGTGTGTGTGCTAGACACTCCATCACTGCTCTAGAATGTTCTCAGTCCCCATCTCAGGGCATTTGCACGAGCAGCTCTCCCTGCCCGAAAGTGTCTCCTTCTATGTCTTGGACTGGATGCTTCTCATAATTTAAGCCTCTGCTGATCCCTTTCCCCTCTTCCAAAGACATCCTCATCTCTCCTGTGTTGTCGTAGGTTTTTTATGTGTGTGTATCATAAAACGAGTTCACTTTTGCTACCTTTTGACACTTGCCCCCATCACGCCTCTTCCCAAAAGCGAGACCCTTGAAGGCAGAAATTGTTTATCTTGTTCCAGGAGATTTAATTCTTCATTATTTTAAAAATGTTTTTGTTGATTTGAGAGAGAGAGAGAGAGAGAGAGAGAGAGTAAGGGAGAGGGAGAGAGAGAGAAACATTGATGAGAGAGAACCTTCAATTGGCTGCCTCATGCATGCCCCCTGCTGGGGATGGAGCCCACACAACCCAGGCATGTGTCCCGACTGGGAATGGAACCAGTGACCACTAAGTGCATGGTATTATGGTCAAGCAACTGAGCCACACAGGCCAGGGCTAGACGATGTCATGATTGAATGATTCCTGAAGCTGAAATGTCTTCTGAGAATTTTGTATTTTGACTCACTTCTCTCTCTCAGTCCACAGAGGAAGGTACCGAGTGAGGCTGAAGGCTTGGTTACTGGGGATGTGGGACAATATCCCGTGGCCAGAAGACCACATCTACCTTCGTAACTTCAGAGAGCGGGAGCACGAAGAGCTGAGGCGCCTTCTGTACCCCAAGGGGTCGGGAGCCCAGCCCCGGACCATCGTGTTGCATGGTCCAGCAGGGGTTGGGAAGACCACCCTGGCGATGAAGGTCGTGCTGCACTGGGCGGAGGGCTTGCTCTTCCAGCACAGCTTCGAGTACGTCTTCTATATCAGCTGCCACCACATCAGAGACATGGAAGACACCACCTTGGTTGGCCTGCTTTCCCGGGACTGGGCTGACTCTCAGATCCCCATCCAACACGCCATGACTCACCCCGAGAGGCTCCTGTTCGTCATTGATGGCTTTGAGGAGATGACCTTGCCCTCTGAAGTGGACCACCGCCCGCCATGTACAAACTGGGACCAGCGGCTCCCGGCGGCCAGCATCCTACTGCACCTGTTGAAGAAGGAACTCCTTCCCACGGCCACCTTACTGGTCACCACCAGGGACTGTCTCAGTGAGGACCTTAAACAACTGTTACTGCATCCATGGTGTCTACAAATCCCAGGGTTCACGGAGGGAGACCAGAAGGAATATTTCTTCAGGTACTTTAGGGACCGAAACGAAGCCAACAAAGTCACGCAGTGGGTCAGGAAGAACGAAGCTCTGTCCCATGCCTGCTCCGCCCCCCTCGTGTGCTGGACCGTGTGCTCCTGCCTGAAGCGCCAGATGCCCCGACGTCCTTCCTTCTGGCTGAACGCCCAGACCACCACCAGCCTGTACGCCTACTTTTTCTCCAGCGTCTTCGAGACAGCGGAGGTGAGCTGGTCAAAGCAGTGCTGGTCAGAGCAGTGGCAGGCTCTCTGCTCTCTGGCCGCCCATGGGATGTGGTCCTCCAACTTCACGTTTTCCAAAGAGGACGTGGGGCACAGGCGCCTGCGGGCACCCCTGATCCGTTGTCTCCTCCGGCTGAACATTCTCCGGAAGGTCAGTGACTGCGAGGACTGTCTGACCTTCACTCACCAAAGCTTCCAGGTGTTCCTGGGGGCCATGTTCTACGTGCTCAGGGGAAAGGACGGAGCCGTTGGTGGCCTCTCGAAGCACCAAGAGATGAGGGTGGTCCTGGATGATGCCTTGGTGGATGCAAACTCCTACTGGCACCAGACGGCGCTCTTCACCTTCGGTCTCTTGAACCAGGACCTCGCAAGGCAAGTGGAAGATGCGTTGCATTGTCAGATGTCTCCCAGGATCATGGACGAGTTGTTACAATGGGCAGAAGAGCTCTCGGTGTCTGACATGGTCCCCTACAGTTTTGAGTTGCCGCCATTTTTTCAGTGCCTGTACGAGACGCAGGAGGAGACCTTTGTCAAGCAGGTTCTGAGCCACCTGCTGGAAGCTGACCTAGAGGTTGGCGACCTGCAGCTCCAGGCGACCTCGTTCTGTCTGAGGCACTGTCAGAGGTTAAGTAAGCTCAGGCTTTCCGTCAGCTGCCTCCTTCCGCAAACGGAGTTGACCAGCCGTAGGGACACGTCAGGGTGAGTAACGCAGCATTGTCTCTTCCCCAACGATCTCTCGTCTTTGGGGGCTCTGCCCCAGTTCCTGTGGAAACCCGGGATTTGGTTGTTATAGTTGTTTGTCAGTGGGTATGATTGATCAAACATCATTGATTAGCATCAGCCTGGGAGGAGATTCTCCTTTAGGTATCGGATTTGGTTCCCTGGCTCCTAACTGGTTTGGCTCAGTGGATAGGTCTTCTCTTCCCCAACGATCTCTCGTCTTTGCGGGCTCTGCCCCAGTTCCCGTGGAAACCTGGGATTCGGTTGTCGTAGTTGTGTTTGTCAATGGGTAGGACTGATCAAACATCACTGATCAGCATTACCCAGGGAGGAGAGTCTCCTTTAGGTGTTGGACTGGGTTCCCTGGCTCCTAACTGGTTTGGCTCAGTGGATAGAGTGTTGGCCTGCAGACTGAAGGGTCCCGGGTTTGGGCACATGCTCCGGTCAAGGGCACATGCTTGGGTTGCAGGCTCGATCCCCAGTAGGGGGCCTGCAGGAGGCAGCCGATCAATGATTCGTTGTCATCATTGAGGTTTCTATCTCTCCCTCCCTCTCCCTTCCTCTCTGAAATCAAATATATATAATATTTAAGTTAAAGATAAAACTTCTATCCCAGGCACTGCACACGGAGGTATGTGCAGGCATTGTGCTAAGGCATCATCTGACATCTGTTGCCCACAGCTGAACGGAGGGGGAATGGTTACTGCCACACATAATAGCTAAGAAAAGTGAAGGATAAAATGACAATTGGCTTACGCCCTGGTGGCTATTGAATAGCTCAGCCTGGATGAGTGCCCAGCTCTCTGTGAACTCCAGAACCTCAACCAAATGCTAGATGTTTCTCCTTGGAGCATGAGTTGGGGTGGGAGTGGGGATGACGGAGTCAACTGAATCCTGAAGCTTGTTCGGATGAGTTTGCCCCGTTGTCTGCTGGAAGGAGAATCCCAGAACTATTTTATCTCCTTCGGTTCTTATCCTATGACCCTGTCTCATCCCTGACACTAATGACAACCATTGATGACTTCTCTTGGAAGAAGAATCCCAGAAATACTTCAACTAGTTGGGTTCTTTTTTTCTTTTTTTGGAAAAAGTTAATTTTATTTATTAGTTTAAAAAAATCTTTATTGTTAAGTATTACATATGGCCCCCTCCCCCCATTGCCTCCCTCCACCTGGTTCCCACCCCACCCGAGGCCTTCACCACCCTATTGTTCGTGTCCATAGGTAATGCATATATGCACATATGTTTTTTGGTGAATCTATCCCCACCCACCCCATCTTCCCTCTGAGACTTGTCTGTCTGTCCCATGTTTCCATGCCTCTGGTTCTATTTTATTCATCAGTTTATTTTGTTCATTAGATTTCCTGTTCATTTATTTTGATTTTTAGATTCAATTGTTG